TAGAGATATATAAATACAATTTCTTCTGTCTCAAGCATATTGCATATTGTTTTATTACATCCATTTTCCATTCAGGCAATTGGGTGATTAATCTTTTTTCTACCACTTTGTCATATACTATTTATATACATTTTTCCTGCAATCATTTTACCTTCACTCTCATTTTTTCTTTCATTGTGTTTCAACTCTATTTTTTCCAAGATTCCTTCTTGACATTAAAAAACGATCTGAGCCACATTTAAAAATCTCTGGTCATCTTATTGTCTATGTTTTCTCGATCTTTCATCAGTTACCTCAACCATACTTTTAAAATTAAATTTATTCCATTGCCATGAATAGGTACAATGAGACTTATGCTTAAACCACAAAATCCTGTATATTCCAAGCAAGAATAAGCAAAGGGTTTCTAAGCAGATATTTGACAAGAAATTATCACTCTAATTCATTGTGGAATCTACAAATGGCCCAATCATTTTTTTCCTGCTCTCTTGGGTCTCATTCCCCACCATTCATGTTGCCTAGCAAAATGTTTTCCCCTGAATCAGATTCATTCATAAAATTGTGGAATATTTATCAAAACTCTAATCTGGTTCTTCCATTAACACCATTCACTGGAGTAGAACATGTGACTTTCTTCAGTTATTTGTGCTTCCATATATGTCTACAACAACCCATTCACACTTAAATATTAACCCTTGCACATAGCTTAACACTTTCACTCATAATGAAACCTATGCCTTCCCTATTTTGCATCTACTCTCAAGTCTATTCCATAAGATGACTTTTATTCATCTATCAGTTAATACATCTTTCCACTTTCTCTCATTTCACAGGTACACATCATATCTATTTTTCTTGCATTCATTCCATTTGTTAATTTATTATCTTTACCATTTATTCTTATATGACTGTAGGAAATAGTCAAGGAAGTTGGGCTTCACTAAGATGTACAGGAAGTGTTACCTAAGCAAAAAAATTTAGAAAAAGGATGTGATATTTAGTAGTGGATCAGAGAGACTCCTCCCATTTCGCTGGGGTATTAGATGGAGAAAGGGAGAAATAATACAGTCAAACTCGTAGTCTTATTGTGGCCAGTCTTAATGATAGCATTTTAGTTTTCAAGTGGTTGATTTCCTTCACAGGCCTAGTACAACTTCCATATGCCATGTTTCCACCTTTAAAGGAATGTGTGGATGACCTTGTGGAACTAAGGGAAGAGAGATGCTGCCTAGGAAACAATCAGGCAGGAGCCCCCAGTGGCTTAATGGTCAAAGAAAGAAACTTAGGAAGCACCCACTCTAATGGGTCAAGTTTATAAAATGTTCTATAGGTGGCACTTGCCACCAGCAAGACCAACAAAAATGTTTTACAACATGTCTGCCAAATTTGGAAGTGTAATCAGACCCCAGGTACTTATTATCATATGTGGTGGACATGTACGAAAGCAAGAAAAAATTGGACAAAAATACATACATGGCTGGAAAAGATGATTAAGCAGCATATAGATTTGAAATATTTTTGTTAGATATAATATCAGAAAGTTATGATAAGGGGATAGACAATATACTTAATTTTACATGTATTGACAGCAGCAAGAATTGTATTTGCACAATATTGGAAAAAATGAGAACACCCCATCAGATGAAAATATAATTCGGAAAATATTGTACTGTGCAGGGATGGATAGATTGACATTGAAAATAAAAGATAAAGGAGATACAAAGTATTACTTAACTTGGAATAGATTTTATGAGTGGTTAGAGATAAGAGGTAGAAATTAGATGAAGAAAGAGTATTGCTATGTATAAATTAAACACATAGTTTATAACTATAAGTATGCTAATGTAATTAATAGGATTATAAATAAGCCAATATAATTATAAGTTTGGTTAAAATCATTTTATTGTACCACTATTATTGTTATTAGCATATATGTTACTATTTCTTTTCTTTTTTTCTCTCTTTTGTAAAATGACATGCCTGGAGAATATACTATATTCAAAATGTTTATATATCAATAAATAAAACTTTGATTCTAATGGGTCAAGCAGTTAAAGTGGGTGTGGGAGGTTTATACTTCCAGACTTGCAAGATTCTACTAAGATAGGCTTACAAAGGAGGTGGGATGCTACGGGTGCGGCCCGGTTCTGCCGAGCCCGTAGCTCCAAAGATCAGCTGAAACCAAACCAGTTCGCTCCAATGAGCTGCTGATGGGCCCACTCTCCCACCTTCCCATACTGACCTTTATTTCCTGCTTTTGAAGCACAGCTGCTTTGCGCGGCATAGCAGATTGCCGTGTGTCAGCTGTTGAAGACACAGGGAGAGTGCAAGAGTGCAGGAGGTGAGTAGGAAAGCCTCTGCACGTGTGCACCCGCAAAGTGTGTGTGCACGCACAAAGCGCGCCCACCACCAAGCTAGGCCCACTGAACTGGTGGTAAACCACTTTGAAAACCCACCACTGCCTTACAATAAATAACTGGCAAAGTTCAATTAGTGATGTTTCCTGGGAGACCTGACATCCCCAGATGGGTGCATAGATATTGACCTCTGCTATCTGTCCTTTCTTTAGTCAGTTGAAACTTTTGTGTAATAGTCTTTAGTAAAACAGGTGGTGGGTTACCAGATTTAATAGCATTTGTGCCATATGCAATATTGTCTGCTAAAAGTAAAGAGAATTTGGGCATGTTTTGGCCAGCCATAATTGAAATTGAAATTCAGTTTTACTCCAAGCATGCTCATACTATTTGATGCAAGGATAATCTATAATCTATAAACCGGCAAAGCATTTGCCTACATCCCATGAACTTGTATTAATATTAATACATACTGATACAAAGCATGTATTGGCACTACACATATAAGACACACTGAGGCTGCATACTAATGGCGATAAAATATTTAAATTGAAAAATAACACTGACCATAGAAGATTGACAGGATCTATCCTGATCATATGAACTTTCAATACTTCCATTTCTTATCAAGGATACACATATTTGGTTCCTTTATACCTCTATTCATAAATATTTTATTTGTCAAAAATGCACAAGAAAAAAATGTGAATTAATATATCTCAAGTTTTTAGTGTCAAAGCAGTACTGACTTCAGATCAATTGAATGTATTTGCTCTTCTTTGCAGTCCATTTTGTAAAGGAAAAGGACATTTTGAAACAAGCAATAATCGTTTGACTTAAAATCACAGAGAATGGAATAGACATTTTAGACAGTGTTCAATGATGACATAAAAAGAGAAAGGAATGTTGCTGGTGGCATTTCCATCCTATTATTAAATAGTTATGCCAACAAATGATTTGATTCATTTTATCCCCCTTCAACATTTTGCACTTATTTTATTTTCTCAATTGCCGTCTTTCAATTAGCCTTTAAAGTTCAGAAAAGATCAACAAATATGATAAGAGTTCTGGAAGTTAAACCATATGATGAACAGTTGTGGGAAATAGGTATGTCTAACAAAGCGGAGGAGTAGGGATGAAATGAGAGCAGCCTTCCAATATTTCAAGGGTCGTCACAGAGAAGCAGAGAACCTATTCTCCAAAGCACCTGAGGGCAGGACAGGGAGTAACAGGTGGAAGATTATTAAAGAAAGCCAACCTAGAATTAAGAAGAAATTTCCTGGCAGTGACAGCAATTAATTAATGGGAGAGTTTGCCTCCATAAGTTAAGGGTGCTCCAACACTGGAAGTTTTCAAGAAGAGATTGGACAACCATTTGTCCTAAATGATATAGTCTCCTGCTTGAGTGGGGGTTGGACTAGAAGACCTCCAATGTCCCTTCCAACCCTGTTATTCTATGTTCCATTTACTGTATCTGAAAACCAAATGGAATAAGGTTAGCTTTCTAATAATTGTATTTTACTGGATCTGGACTATTTATTTTGAGCAATGTTGCACAGGATTGAAGTAATGTGCAAATAATTGATGTTCAGTGGGTTTAGGTCAAAAATTATTTGATTGCCTCTGAATCATATTTACTTTTTTGGATTAAATCATTTGCCTCAAAATTAATCCAATGACTCTATGCTGGGTATCTATTTGCAGAACGGTCCTTTTCTAAATTGAATTTGCTTTCCAAATCAGTTTGATTTCCTTAAATTATCTGATTTGGAAACCCAGTATAGTTCAGAAATCCAAATTGAATCAGTGATCCAAATTGAACTGACATTTGGATTGGCAATGTATAGATTATGCAACGACCCACGTTGCTTATCATTTCTGGATACCTTTCTTATATGCATTGAACTTCCAACCTGCTGACCTTTGCTTTTCTTTTTTAAATGCACAAGGAGTATGCTTCAGAAAGAAGTCTAGGCAGCTTCTTTCATGCCCTATCTCAATAGTTCCACAATTCTTTCTATTGGCCTTTCCTTTTCACTTGCTCATTCCCAATAATTCTGCTTCTTTCATGTCATAATTTCTTTCATCAAAACTCCCTTTGGCAGACTTTTATCTCTAGTATGCTGTTGCTTCTTCCTGTTTTGCTCTTTCTAAATCTACTTTTGTGCACACTGCAGTTTTCTCCAGCTATCCTTTTTGCATTACAATCAGGGCTGCAATTAGACAAGTGAACTACTTACCTTAAGCAGCAGATTCTGACTGAGGATAAAAAGATGCTGAAAAAGAGAATTTTATGTCAGAGTTTATTCAGTGCCCTCTAAATTAAACCCATTGCTGGCTTTTGCATTATAATTATTCATAAGCTAACTAAAATAAAAAATATATTTTTTGATCTAATCTAAAAGTCACCAAGAAATGGCTGAAAGCACATGTTCTAGAAAGGCGTGGGTATTCTATAGAAAAGTTTGCCCCTGATACTCATTGATATAACTGCTGTTGGTGGTAGATCAGAGATCTTTGGTGGGCACTTATTCATGCGTGGAATCCATGTAACCTGATTCCAGATCTTTAGATCCCCTACTACCCAATTGCTTCCAAGTCTCATGAAAATTGATTGACTGTTTTCTCTCCCTTCCTTTCCAACAGCCTCTGCAGCTGGAGTGTGATCTCTGTGCCATTATTTCAAACTCAGGTCAGATGACAGAACAGAAAGTAGGATCTGAAATTGACCAGGCTTCCTGTATATGGAGAATGAATAATGCTCCCACCAAGGGCTATGAAGAAGATGTTGGAAAAAGGACAACAATAAGAGTTGTCTCCCATACTAGTGTCCCTCTTTTGCTGAATAATGCAGACTACTTTTTCAAGGAAACCAATAGTACAATTTATGTCATCTGGGGACCTTTCCGAAATATGAGAAAAGATGGAAGTGGCATTGTATATAATATGCTGAAGAAGACTGTGGACAGTTATCCTGGGGCCAAAATCTATGTGACCACTGAAAAACGCATGAGCTACTGTGATGAGATATTTAAAAAGGAAACTGGGAAGGACCGGTAAGTCCTGCATTGCAGACCAAAATAATTATTTCACCAATTTAACAAGAAAATGCTATTTTTTTAAATCTGTACATGTCACTAATATATTAGTCTCTCAAATTAGTGTTTTAAAAAGATACTTTTTTGGCTGATGTTTTTGCACTTGACCAGAAAAAGACCTGTCCATTATCTTCTAATTGCCATTTTCTTTCTTTTTGGCTAAGATCCTCAAACATACATATTTATACAAAGGATTTTAATACTTTAAAAGTTAATGCTTTAAAATTTGTAGGTAGGATGGCTTTATCCTCAAGTGTTTGGTATTGGTACTGGTACTGTCAAATGATATATGGCTACTGTAGTTGGCCATATATAGAAAGAAACACAAAAGAAAAATACATTAGTGTACTGCTTGTTAGAGATTTTATGAATTTTCAAGCCTTCTGGCGTTTTCATAAGCATGGGATGATAACGTATCCCAAGGTAGACAATGTAGACTATTCTTATGTTCTATTTAGTTCCAGATGTTTGTATCAAATCTGCTTTGTAAAATTTGAAGAACAAAAAATAGGTTGAACAATTAGTTGAGTATTTAAGGAAGTTACAAAGAGACAGCGGAAACCTCTTAGGCCAATTTTGTGGAACAAGCTACACAAGATCCAAAAATTGAAGTAAGACAACTCAGGTATTATTTAAACAAAACATAATAAAATTAAAATGGCTTAAATAGAGATTTTTTCTGGTCATGAAGAGAAAGGTGAGAAGAAAAAAAGGGATTTTAAAGCCTTTTCCACAACTTTTTGAATAAATGTTGTATGTCTTTCGATGCTTGCAAAGGAACTAAATTTGAAAAGACAAAATGTGCTTAGTAAAGCTTTTTTTGCAAAGTATCACTAGATTACACAGCACTATACAGAGTATAAGAAATTGCTACACCCTAAGTTGAATATGTGAAAGTCAATAGTGGGCAACAGCAGGACAAGTGAAAGGAAGTATAGCTCAGGGAAGACAGGATTTTGAAGTAGAAGTGACAATAAATTCATACATTCATTGACTGAAAAAATATTAGGTTTTGTTTTGTTTTTACAGTACGGATTTGTATGTTGCTTGAATATTAAGGCAGAAAAAATGTTGAAATGTAGCCTTATTAAACAAATGGAGGGAGTTGTAACTGGTATTTTCTTACCTCATACACCCTAATTCAGTGGTTGTCAACCTGTGGTCCATAGACCGCTGTGGAGGGGGGGCACAATGTCATTATAGGGGGTATGAAGGGTTGAAGAAATGTTATGATTTAAATCTTGAGTTAAGCCTTAGTGGTCCATGGCCACAAAAGGGTGGTCTGTGGTGAAGAAAGGGTTGAGAACCACTATTCTAGCCAGGGTAGAGATGCATAGAAAAAGTCTTCTATTATTATATGTAGCTTTCTATAGAACACACACACACTCTGTGAACTCTCTTACACCTGGAGCAGAGATATAGCATTAGTCTTCCATTGTATTATTCCTTGGTACCTCTGAAGCAGACTGATAATAATAGACTTATATACCACTTCACAGTGCTTTACAACCCTCTCTAAGTGGTTTACAGAGTCAGCACATTGCTCCCAACATACTGGGTCCTCCTTTTGCTGACCTCGGAAGGATGAAAGATTGATGGAACCTTGAACCAGTGAGAATCGAACTGCTGGCAGTCGACAGAATTAGCCTGCAATATTACATTCCAAACCACTGTGCCACAATGCCCTATTTCTATATGAAAGAATTGAAGGCTACATATAACCATTTGTCAAAAATACCTAGTGGAGTTTAGAGTAGCGCAGGACTCCAATGTATGAATTTTTGATTAAAATGCAAGGCAGTCTTGTCTTATGGACCATGTTGACTCTTCTGCCATGTTCCATATGTTGCTGTCTCAATCTTGGCTCCACAGAGACACCAGAGTCAGATAGAGAAGTTTATTCTGTTTGTGAGCCATTTGCTGAACTGTCAAATAGTAACCGAGCTCCATGTGTGAAGAAAATGACCACATATGTCTTGCCAGACCATTAAACATTTGTTCACTCTTGGTTTTTCTCCCATAGTTCCTGTTTCGTTAGTAAAGCCAGATATTTTTTGCTTCCTCAGATAAATAACTTTTCTTCCATTAGGGTGGTATTAAACAGCACTCAGACTTTGCAGCAAAATTAGGAGGATGCCAAATGCTGCTCATAGGACACACAAATGCACAGCTTGTGTTGGGAATGGAAATTTTGGGAGGCTTATTCTTAAAATATTAACTGTGGAAATGCTGTATATGGCTAGTCTAGCAAAGTAACAAAATATGTTGAGCCATTACCAGACATTTGATGGTTCTGCAGAGTAATATGATCCTGCAAAACGAAATGCTTCTGTCATTACAGTATCTATATTGTATGTTTCTCAGAGACAGTTAAGAGGCATGTACTATAATCACTTTTCTAATGCAAAATGTTAACAGAATTTATAATTTATTAATTATATTTACATATGCTGATAGAAGAACCCAAACTAGCATTTTTAAGAATCCAATAATAATATTTTTTTAAGATTGATGGCAAAATATCATCAAAGTTCCCTCAGTGCCATTTACTTCTCACTGCATCCTATCTATGCCACTATGTATTATCTATTATTTTTCTATCTATTATTTTTTTCATTCATTGATGTTGAGATGCAATACATGGGAAGCCTAACAATAAAAATTAATTTATTCAGATTATATTTTAACTGGTTTGTTTTAGTGGTGCGATAAGGTTTCCAACTGATCATTTCAACAATGGATCATAGTATGAAAGATTGCCTCAGTGCTCGCAGCTCAATACTATATTCGTCATTGTTTCTCTTTTCTCTCTCCTCCCTCCCTCTCGCTCTTTCTCTTTCTCTCCCTCCTTCTCTCTCTCTCTCTCTCTCTCTCTCTCTCTCTCTCTCTCACACACACACACACACACACACACACACACACACACACACACACACATTATTTTACCATTAATTAACTTTCCTAAGTCCCACGCTGGTTGGTGATTCTGAAAGGTCTAGGCCCTTTACAAATTCCCCAAAAGTAAAAAATTCGATTTCAGGCTGCTAAAAATTGCTCTCATTTCCATCTTGATATGAATGTAAAGACAAGTTTATTCTTTCTGAAGATTTTAATTAGTAGGGTACTTTAAGCCACTGCAGATTCTCCTTTTGTGTCATGTTGTTGTGCATAAAAAAATTATACTGTGGCAGAAAGACTTTCGTAGTAATGTGTTTTTAGTTTGTACAGTCTTGAAGGTGCTCAAAAGTTGACAGCTTCTTCCAGTATTTCATTAGCATCATTCGGAGCAGTATTAAATACACAGACATAGATGAAAGGAGAATTTAAGTTATATGTGAAGAGATGCCAGCTTAATAACAACATGTGAAAAAAGATCTCCCTCCCTTTTTTTGGGGGGGGGGGATGTTTACCTGAATTCTGATGTGCAATTTTGTTTCCCTGATGTTTAAAAATGTAATAGAAATTCTTACAGCATCATTTAATTAGTAATAGCTGGGGGGGGGGGGAATCTTTGTAGATTGCATTGAAAGAAAAAGAGTTCATTTCAGCCTAGTAAAATGCATGGAGAGAAACTCTAGAGAGCATTTAATTAGCTGGCACAAAAGTTGTTCCATCTTTAGGGATCTCTAAAATTAATGAAGGTTAGAACCAAAGAGATCAATGCACCACATACTACTATAGCCTTATCAGATGGGAGTGTAGAAAGGGGGAGTGGTTTTAATGGAAGGTTCAGCTTGCAACTATTTACAAACAAATCATTTTCATAGAAATGATGCTGAAAATATCACTAAACAATGCTGCTATCAGTTAGGTTCAACCAGAGCCAATCTAAAATTTGTCTTCCTATAATTCTTTATCTTGCAGCTTACAACTTGATTATATAGTCCCTAAAACAAATAGTGTGTCCTCTCATGGCCAACCCCTTGACTAACAGGACTCTATTCTATTCAGCTATTTACACACGTTGCATATTACAAAATGTGACTGTCACCTGATCTCAGAGATAGTATTCACACCAATAACAGGGCACAACTTCCTAATTTGATGCACTGTGAATGCATTAACACTTCTTCAACTCCCCAATTTCCAACCATATGCTTTAATGTAGTTGCAGATACGCTCTATAATGCATGTTCTGAGTGCAGATATCTGTATCATAGCAAATACTTGTTGCTTTACATAGACTTAGGCACTGTCTTTGCTTTATCTGAAACTTGTAACATAACTTTGAAATGCAGGGTTCTTGAAACAGCTGTCCTGAGCTTGGTGTCAACCCTGAAGCTGGCCTAACTGTGGCCATTTTCTTTTTGTAGCTTTCCTCTAAGGAGGTTTCTCTTCACGTTGCTTCAGAGCTGACACAGCCTGGAGCTAAGGGGCCACGGAGGTAAGAGGTGGTAGTATGGGAGGGTTTCTCCTGAAGTCTACCATCATTTCTATGGTTTTGAGTGTGTTCAGTTCCAGATTGTTCTGGTTACACCACGAGGGAAGTTGTACAACCTTCTGTCTATATGCGGATTCTTTGCTGTCTCAAATGAGACCAATCACTGGTCTTCCAAGATAAACTACATTATCTTTATGCCTCAAAATGTAAAACCATTTCATGAGTGTTTTTCCAGAGATCAGATCATATTCCTTAGTAAAGTTGATCTCAACTCAAGGGCATTTTGATCTTTTAAATAATATATCTGTATTTGTATAAATGCTTCCTAGTAGATGTGTATATTAGAAGGAATAATAGGTTCAGCCACTGTTGTAGAATTTTGAAGAAGTTATCTTTTTGCGTGGTAATGTTGAACATCTCCCTCTATTCTAGTGCATTGGTGTGCAACCTTTTGGCTTACCTGGGCCTCAGTGAGGGAAGAAGAATTGTCTTGTCATTAATTGTCTTGGACTGCATATAAAATCTAGTAGGTGAGAAAGTTATAGCTTTAGTCCATTTGGGGCAAGCAAATGAAAGA